CATAAGAATCAAGAGAGAGATAGAGAGAGAGGAAATATTCTTGTTACAAGGTTTTTGTGGTTGTGATAGAGATGGGAGACACCATGCCAAACTTATTAATTAGAAATCCCTGTCAATCGGTCGGCATCGAGAGCTTAATTGGTGGTTCAATATGGACCAAATGCCATCCAACATATGTTATCGTTGGTAGGGTAGGGTCTCAAACGGTCTAGTAGTAGAGCGTTTACTTTCTTATTTGTCATCACATCTCCTCCTCTTGAATTATATTTAGCCAATTAATTACTAATGTTGAGCTCTTTGTGTTATCTCACAATTACATAAGAAGAGTACAAAAGTAACCGAATGAGTCCCATGACATTTACTAAATGTTAGAGTTATTATGATACATGCTCTATTAACATATCAACTCCGTAATTCGGAAAGTTTGTAAGGAAAATGGAAAGAGGCTATGGGTGGAATAGAGCTCGGTAACTTTTGTTTAGAACTCATTCGTGGTATGAAGTTCATATAAAATCTCATTTTGAGAAAATCACCTTAATATTTCTTATATAAATATAAATTTTCACGTGTCGTACTTGAACAGTGATAAGAGGTGAGATAGTCCTAGAGAGATTATCTTTTTTAAAATATATTTTATAAGCTATATTAAGTGGTTGTTAATGGTTCTTTTTTTCAATTTTTTAATTATAAAATTTTTACTTTCTTGGCACATCATATAATTTATGAAATATAGTTTAGATAATGACTGATCTGTACGTTAGTAATAAAGAAATGCTATAAATACTCTTTCAAAAGTGACACTATCTATAAACCTTTAGTTATCTCATATTTTTTACATAATGATTATAATATTGATACTATAATTAATGTTAAATTATGAAGTATCATTAAAAGCGTAACATTTCTCCCATAAATATAAATTTAACCCGAGAAGAAATGGATTAGGGTTTGCCGATTTAAATAGCAGAGGCATGGACTCGTGAGTTGTGACTGTGGTCATATCTTGGGCTCTGAGTCCGGAACTTGGGCTTGTAACGGACGGAAGAGACTTTTCACAACAAAACAAAAACATTTTATTTAATTAGTATTGCGTTTTGGCCTTTTTTGAGCTCCTAAACGTACGCAAGAAGCAACACTAGTCAAACAGTTGCACACTAATATTATTTTATTTATTTTACAATCATCTCTGGTAGACTACTACCATTATATTATTTATCTCGAAAGCGTGTTATGTAAGAAACCCAAAATATTCCAAAACCGCGTTAAGATCCATTACAAAACATAAACCAATTAAACTTGAGCGCTAATTACGTTCTCCTTGTTGTGGCTTATATTTAACTGAAAGAAAGAGAGATGCAGCAAAAAAAGAAAGATAGATGAAGAATAGGTTTGAGAAATTTTGTGTGTTATACTCCATACTTTGTGCCTTTATTTATAACAATAAGAAAGAGAAAAACTTACTCTTCAAGTAATACAAAATTTAATTAGAAATATCTTATAGATCCTGAAGGATTCCTATACATATCTCTAAATTTACACAATCACATTTGTATTAGAATGGAGATCACAACATTCATATTTTTCTCTCTTTGTTTCGTTTCTCAATTTTAGGACGATGGATTTCCTCAATTGTTACTTACGAATGAAGTGCTTTGTTTTTTGTTTTTCACAAACTCTAGTGTTTATAGGTTTAAAGTTAAACTATAGTTTTAATATCGAACCAACATCAAACTGTATAGGTTTTTTTTTTCTTTCTATCGTTGCAGTAAACCGTCATCTACTTTTCTTCTTTTTTGTTGTTAGTTTTAACAGTATTTATGTGCTATTTTGTTACGTATATAATGGACTAATTACGACAATGAATTGAACTTATGAGTTTAGTAGTTGAGCTTTTCAATATATGTGTGCTAATTTATTACATGCATAATCGAGATTTGAATTGACAACTAACTTCAGCAATGAAATATTGAATTGACGAGTCCTTCAATATTTGTGTGTTATTTCATATTACAAACGTGGTCGAGATTTGAAAATGGCAAGATGAGCAATGAAATATTAAACTCACGAATTTAGCAGTCGAGCCTTCCAAATTTCAATATGTATGGACAATGCTCGACTATATAACGAGGAGTAATACTAGAAAAATCAAATTTTTAGACAAAATTTACAAACTAAATGATATGTTACTAATAGAAAATAAACACGTTTGTCAACAATTAAATAATAATTCAATCATCAACTTTATTATGAATTAGTTTATAAAATTTTATCTATAAATTCAAATCTTCTTCACATTGCTTTATAACAAAATCATACAAGAAACTTGCGTAGGGAAGGTAGTAATGGACGAACACAAAAAATTAATAGTATCAGGAGGGCCATTGCAATGATGGTTTCTTGCAAAATCGTAGCTCACATAAAGCACTAGTGACCTCAGCAAGCATATATGGTTGAGTGTATCGGTGTATGAAAAGATGTATCATCGGGATCGATGCATCAACAGCCACAACCTTTACTTAAGAAAGTATAGTAGAGGACAATGATATAACTACAAGACTAAGATGTTCAATCATTTTTTTTCTTTTTTCGTTTGGCATGCATGAATGGCGCTCAATAAAATCAAAAGAACACGAAAGTAATCAAATGGTATGATCATTTTATTTTAACTATAAAATAAACAGATCAAATTCTTTCGTTATGCAGTTTCGGTGTCAAATGAGTCGGCATCTTTCGTTATGCAGTTTCGGTGTCAAATGAGTCGGCATATTACAGTTATATCTCTCGGGTTAAATGATTCGTAAAACAGAGCTAGTAACCTGCAAAATACATGAGTTCAAAATAGCAAACAAACCTTACCCGAAATATATTTATAAGAATATGAAGCGATAATTGTTTTACCATGAAAAGTTGGAAACAACATAATTAGAGTCCCGGATTTACACGGGAATTGTGTCAGCATGTAATTTTTGTGTGTCTCGTGTGTTCGTGTGCGTAGTACGCCCACACGTCCATGGGTGAAGTTTGCCCTACACATCATACAAATTTTCACGACCAAAAGAGAAAAGACAAGTAAAAAAAGACGATTGTTTCTTTGGGATTTGCATCCCCTTTTTCTTTTTCTTTTTTCTGTAGGTATTTTCTGATCCTTTGATCTTCATTCGGTGCAAGATAAAAAGTAGCTAGGGTTTTTATCACCGACTATATAAAAGGAATATAATATAATTATACAATTAGTTTAAAAAACACATGATTTCACACCTGAATTAAAAAAAAATTGATACTCTTATCGTATATTTGATTATGTTTCAATTCATTGGATTAATTATCCAAAAAAGAGAAAACTCTCGTACCTGATCTCCACCTAAAGTTTGTCCTGTCCACTGTTTTTATATGCGATATAGGGAGTATCGATTTTATATTAGGTTTCGTAGATGCATCGAATATAGTAACTATATCCTAATTATTCCAGTTAAAATTTACAATATAAATAACAACTTGTATTGAATGATTTTACTTATAATTATCTTTATATCTATTTATGATAAAACACAATATTTACTGAGATGTACAAATAATTACGTAAAACAATATTCGAGTGATTATTAGTCGTCGTTGACCCGACTGATCTAAAAACTGAAACAACTACAACTTAAATAGAGAAATGCTAAGGAAACATTACCCTTTGTTACCTTACAATTTAACGTCAACCGTGTCATATTATAAAATATTATGCTAAAAATATGAGGTAACAAAGTATCTATAAAGAATCTCACTTTTAAAAGGTTCTCTTTAGCATTTCTCACTTAAATATATCCTAATTTTAACATTTTGAATCAATGAAGGACATCGTCGACCTAATTTATATAAGATGGTAAGTCCTGAGAAAGCAGACAGTCGTGGATCTTTTCGGTTCCAAAAAAATGAATAGACGTGACATAGCCACCAACAAATTCTTTTTTTTCTTAAAATAAAAAATTTTGAATCAGTCATAAACGTCGTCCGCCTACCATATATAAAAGATAGCAAGGTATAGTGCTAGTGTTTAATAAGTGGGAATTTCTGTAAAATAATAACTGTCTAATTCAGTATAATCTCCAAATAAAGTAATATATGTTAATGAAGTCGATCCCATAATTATTATTCTAGTTAATTATTAATTCATCGAGGATATAACATATCCTCATCCTGTATACTTTACCTGCAGCACCAATTACAAAACGCCACTACCTTTCCATTAATTAAATCTCCTCCATTTTTATAATATGGTTTTGCTTTGACTATTAAATTTAATTAAGTCGACGAGCATTACGAAATTAAATTATCAAATAATCAAAAGATGATTAGAAGAAGAGAAGTTCACAGCATGTAATCTGTGTAGCCGTAAGAAGGTCACGTGCAACGAAACCCCGTTCACATTACATAAATTAATTAATAAAACAAACGGGTTAACCGGTCAAAGGTCCAAGTATGAGGGTCGACCATTTTGTCGGAGGATCCGGCTTCTCTACCTTTCCACTTGCTATACATTCTTATTCTTTTTTATTTTGTGCAATCATAATTAAGTTATGATGATATTTTATATTAATTTTTTTTATAAAGATAATAAGATAAAAAATAATAATAATAAAAGATATTAACATAATTTAACTGTAACTGTACAAATAAGTAAGAGGGTAGAGAATCCGGTCCTTTGTCGGAACCATTGCGTTCAAATTTTTTTGCCACTGCAAACTGTCTTTCTCCGTACAAAACCCATGACCTCCAATTGCCGGTCAATCTTTGAGGCCAGCCCAAAAACGCTCACTCTCAAATCCCTAACCCCCAAAAGCTCTCTCACTCCTCTCTCTCTCTCTCTCTCAAAAATCTTAACCAGATGAAACCCTACCCTACTTTCACTCTCTATATCTTCTCTCTCTCTCTATGACAAACAAAACCCACTTTTTTTTCTCTCTCTTTCTTTTTCTCTCTAGGATTTGATGAAGTATAGATAGTAGTTTGTGTACTGAGAGTGAGCTATGGATGTGAAGAAGGATGTTGGGAAGAGGGAGGACAACAATATGAATGGAGGAGGAGGATGCGGATTTTCCACATCACCATTTGCAGGCATGTTTGATTTCTGTGAAGGAGAAAAGAGTTCATCTTTAGGGTTTATGGAGCTTTTGGGGGTTGGGGTTGGACAGGACTATTGTCCCACTTCCCTGTTTGATTATTTGCCGCAAACACCATCCACAGTCCTGCCTTCATTAGTTTCCACAATGGGAGGAAAAGACCAATTGTCTGCTGACTACTCCTCTTTGAATCAGCAGCCTGCAACACCAAACTCTTCGTCGATTTCGTCGGAATCAAGCGAGGCAGTGAACGAAGAACACACTGATCATAAAGCTGCCGCAGACCAAGAGGAAAATAATGAAGAAGAAGAACATGATGAGCAAAAAAAGACCAAGAAAGAGTGAGTTTTTATTTTACTTTTTAATCGATTAATTTCTCGCTTTTCTTAGCTTAAAGTTTTGTATTCGAGAGATACCGATTTCGTTACAGATGAAGATAGAAATGGGTTTTCTTGGAGATTGAAAGTTTGGGATTTTTGGGTAAAAGGGCAAGTCAAATTTAATAAAAAGCCTGGTGAACGGTGAGATATTAATGCTTTTGTAATTTCTTGTGTTGGGAGAAAAGGTTGAAAGGCAAGAAGGCGAGTCAGAAGAGGCAGAGAGAGCCCAGGTTTGCATTCATGACAAAGAGCGAAGTTGATCATCTGGAAGATGGCTACAGATGGAGAAAGTACGGCCAGAAAGCGGTCAAAAATAGCCCCTTTCCCAGGTACCAAAACTTCAGTGCCAAATTAATCACTTCCATCTGCACTGTTGGTTTGAATTAATCAAAACCAGGAGAATAATTTAGTAATGGGGTTTCGATCAGAATCTCAATTACATATATGTCATGATTAAATTTTGGTGATGTGATGAAATGATGATATGTTTTGTAGGAGTTACTATCGGTGCACAAGTGCATCATGTAACGTGAAGAAACGAGTGGAGCGATCTTTCGACGATCCGAGCATTGTTGTGACTACTTATGAAGGCCAACACACTCATCCGAGCCCACTCTTGCCTCGCCCAACTCACACTTCAGCTTCTGCTTCTCCTTTTGCACCTAATAATTTTGCCATGCCATTAATCCCCACAAGAACCCTATTTCCTCATCACTATCAACAAGTAGAGCCGTTTGCAGATAACTCCTCTCCGCCTTCATCAGCACCTTTTAATTTTGGTAATTATCATGCGAACGGCTCTTCGTCGTCTCTTACAAATGCTACTAGTACCACTACCCGCCTTGTTCATCCCGAAAGGCGGTTTTGCTCTCCGGCAACCGGTTCTGCTTTGTTAGCTGACCATGGCCTTCTTCAAGACATAGTCCCCTCTCATATGCTTAAGCAAGAGCAGTAGATTTATGCTCACTGCCCTTGTATTTATATATATAGACATATAGATATGGATATTATCATCATGAGATAGTGAGATCCTCCCATTAGAGCTACTTAATTATGTACTAATTTAGCTTGCTTACTGACTTTCTGTGTTAAGATGGTGATCCAGATGATGATTATGTTTTGTAATATGGATGGAACATGGACTTTTGAATCCAATGCAGGTACTACTAGGCAGTAGCTAGTTAACCTCTTTTTCTTTATATTTGTTCTTTTTTCATTTTTTTCTTTTTTTTCGTTTTGTGGGATTGTGGGGAATGAGAAATTTTTAATTGCGATTGAATTACGAATGGTATATCATGTGTTTTTTACGTAAGTAGTAGGAAATTTTATTTTTTAAATTATTAATTTTTTAACACACATATCACATCATTTGTATAGTGACTAGTACACGGGGTGGTACATCACGTGTCAGTATACAAATGGTGGGATATGTGTGCTAAAGTGGGATATGTGTACTAAAAAGTTAATCACCTAAAAAATAAAAATTTTCACCACTTCTATTAAAACACGTTGTACACTACTTGTATTTCCGTCACAATTAAAATTTTCTCTTTCGAAAGAGCCTAAAAGAGGAGAAAGAGAGGTGGGGTTGGGGGATGTAAAGTTAAAGATTATGGTAAAGAGAAAAAAATGGGTTGTTGTATATTTAATTCTTCAGACCCCTTGTTTGTCCTTATGTCTTTGTTTTTCTTTGTGAAGGAATGTGTATTGATTTCATTTGGGTACTAGTAGCAGCAGCACTGCGCGCAGTCATGCTTTGAGGGTTAGGTTTTGGACAGTCTCGGCACCCAGTATTATGTAGGAGCCTCTTCTCTCTCTCTATATAACAATTTTTAAACTCTTTTTTAGGAATTTGTTCTCAGAATTTCGTATTTAATAAGTTTTATGTAATTATACTAGAAATGTATAATTTAAATTCAAATGAGTCGGCATACTAGCTAAATGAATGTGTTGTTTTTCGTGCACTCAAATTTAAATTTTTTTTTTTATTTGTTTTTTTTATAATTCAGATTCATGTAAAGTAGAATATTGATTTTATTGAGGTAAAGTAAAAACATTTTCTCATGGGGATTCACATAAAATCAACATTCTAGAAAAAAGGGCTGCAATTTTTGAAGATTTGGTGACATATAATGCGCGCTGGCCCCAAACTATGTACGCGTATGCGTATTTTACAAGAATTCTCTCCCCCCACCCCTACCTTGGACGATCTATGCTGTCAAATCTCACCCTACATATTCGGTTCATTGAATTTGAATAAGATATAAGGGCTTATTAATTGATTTGTCCTTGGAAATTAGGTTGTTTCAAAATTTAATTTAATTCACTCGTTTAATCTAACATTTGAAATTACACTTTTGCATCAATACACAAGAGAGACTGACGAGAGTTTGAATTATAGTCACTGAAAATAGAATTGGAATTGTTTTAGCAGGCAATTTGGAGGCAAAGAGTTGTGTAAAAATTAAATATCAATACTACATTTTATTTTAACATTTCTTCAATGAAATAGACAAAAATAGGTTGCACATAGACTAAATGAGACTAAAATGGTAATTTTATAGGATAAAGTAAGACAAAACCAGCTTAAAAGGTAAAGTAAAATTAAATGGCAGTTTCACGGAACACATCAATTAATAAGCTATGATATACATTCACAAGCAAAGTCGAATCACCTTCATATTCGCTTCATTTACTGATAGAATAAAGAACATCGAATAGTAAATACCGTCAAACAAATTATAACTGATTTAACGAGTCCTCCATAATATGATCTTTAACATACCTAGATATACCTAAAAAACACAACTACAAGGGATTTCACCAAATATCTCCTCTAGTTGGTGCAGAATCCGCTTTGCATCTACAGACAATGTGTTTCCACTCTCGTACCACTTGCTTCTTTTCCTTTTTGGCAAGTATGTGTAAGAACAAATACGATCGGTTTGGGTAAAATCTTCATAAAGTTCAGCAAAAAGATGTTTAACAAAATTATTGTGTTCACATCATATGGGGCAGTGAGGGCCAAAGATTAACTTTCTAATTGGGAATAATTACTTCAGTTCATCTGTAAAATAACTGGACTATGGTACAAATCTTGGGGCAAGTAACGCGTTGATTGCACGACACTAACAACCCACCATAGTTAAAGCTTGGGTGGGTACATTTTTATACATGTGTCTAATAAGTAGAAGACCCCCTGTTCTAAGCTTACACCACTATTGTTCACCAACTAAGTGCTTCTTGAATTCCCCTTGCCTACAGAAGCAACTTAAATATGAATATAAACTGAGAAACGATTAAATACGATTGAAGAAATGAAGGCGGAGGGAGTGAACACAAAATTTCAGGATCTTGCAAATCTTCCAACAGCTAACTAATGGTTCCCTCAGACCGGACAGGCTTGCAATTGTCTTCTCTAGAAACAGAAAATTGACCATTCTGCATAAGAAACAAGAAGAATGATATGAACTTTATGAATAGGAACTAAGTAGGAGGGCCGGAACGGAACTAGAGGACTTTGTGAGACCCCATTCATTTCCTGTCTACCTCTCTGAATCCCGAGTTTTCAGAGCAATATCCCTGGATAGACCCTATAAAAGAAGACGAGTCATAAAGGCAAATATAAAGAAAACCCTTGGTTTCTCCTGCATTGTTTTTTATTCGAATGTGATTCCTAAAAGACACTTATAAGCAGAGGCATTGTTAAGTACAAAATCTACACCTGTCAAACTCAGGTTGGGCCAACTAGAGGACTTGTTTGTGGCTGGATTTGCAAATGATCAAGTTCCTGCAAAATCACAACATCAGCCTATATCGTCAGACATTATTTACACTATAAAGGCCTTTGGGAATTCCTGAACAGAAATTCTCCCTTCTTACACAATGAGTGCATGGTGTAAACAAAACCATTCCAAAACATAACCAGATTGAAGTTTTATACTCAAAGCGCGTATGGTGGTAGACACAATAAAGCGTGTATAGTGGTAGACACAATTTCTATTTGGGCAATTCTTATACTAGCTGCTGATTTGTACAGGTATGATGCTTAAGGCGACAAGACACTCAATTTACACTACAATAGAGAAACCAACATCTCAAAAATCAGTTATGTGAAAATGAATACAAACCGTTGAAGACAAGGAAGGTTTCTGAAGTTGGAGTGTCTGATGGAAGGCATGTGTCTGAATCTCTACGTGTGCTTGATCACTTTGTTGTATAGAAAGAACCGATGTAGATTGAAGATGGTGAGATGAATTTTGCAGCTGTGTCTGTGTCTGTGTCTGTAATTGTTTCTCAAACAAGGCAAAATCCTCAGGCTTGTCCCACTGCAGACCAGATAGCACATACATTAATCGTATGATCCCTATTCTTTTTTATAAGACATTAACCATATCTTCTGGTACTAAGAAACCTAAAAGACATGATGAAAATGGTCAAGGACTGAAACATACTCTGCTTTCACAAGTTTCACAATTGTAGTAATACTTGTATCCATCAGGGCAGGTATGTTCACTCCAGTCACACTCTAGAGGAACTGCAGTTTCATGACTTGAAGCCAATGCAGGTGAGGTAGAATTGCTAGCAACTGTCTGAGGATTGCATCCAGTTCGTGGAGACAGTTGAAGCCATAAAAAAACCAACGTAGTTGCACAGTTCCCAATATTACAGCATGGCAGAAACGAATTTGCAAAGTCATATAATCATTGTTAGTATGTGCCCTGCCAATCTTGTATCATATAATAAACCCCACAGAACAACTGAACATGCATTCACACAAAGTTTGTATCCGCCAATAAAAAGCTCCAGAAACGACTAAAAACCATTCATCCAAATAAATAAAAAATAACTAAAAACCTCCTACATTAATACTTCAAGGGTTACTAGAGACAATGTTGTTACTAGTGCAAACTTGACTTCATTTACCAAAAGAAAAGAGATTACTCCCTCGCACATGCATGCTAATTAAACCTTTAACAAGATAGACACGATTCTTGTAGTTGTAGAGTGCCTAAGCAAACAATTCAATGAATACACAGGGTGTCACAAGCAATGGCCACATGACATTTTTGTGAAACAATGCTCATGAAATTATCCTTTACAAACGCTGACCTGTTCAATCACTGATAAAGTTCACATTCCGATCAATTTATCATTGTTGCGTACTAACCTGAGAACTCTGCTGCTGCCCAATAATTTGCCCAGATGGCTGTGTCAGATGCTGCTTCTGGGTCTCATTAGCTTCTACTTGAGAAGTCTGAGAAGATCTCTGTGTATTCTGTGTCTGTTGTAAAGGCATCCTACACAACTGTGGTGGTGGCATGACAATGGAAGCTTGGGGTTCTGGGTTTGCCAATTGGGGAATAGGTGGGTTTGAAGTTTGTTGAACAGGATACGGTGCACTATGAAAATTATGCCCTCCCATGGGATCACCATGATCAGATACTAGCCTGCAACAAGTAAAGCAGAAAAAGAAAACTCAAGCATAGTACTAAACAAAATGAAAAAAAGGGGGTAAGATGCACAAAGACAGACATGTACCTAAATGGTTCTTGAGAGTGGGGTCCAATGTTCCCGCTGCTAAATCCAAAATTTCCCCTAGAGAAAAAGAATGTTTAGAAAATTGTGTCTAGGATTAACTACTCAATATCAAACCAGTACATAATCAGTCATCCAGTACTGTATACATCAACACACCTCTTTGTCAGCCAACATTTCAGTTTACTTTAACCAAATCTAGAAAGTTACTTGTGGCTTTGGGTGACTGTTTATAAAACTATACCCGTACATGTGTGTGTAAACCTGATCCATCCATCAGATTATTTTTTGCCAAAAAGTGTGGTCAAGAACCAGTCTGGGAACACAGGTCAGGAAAGAGAACACGTATGCATATATATACTCTGTGTGTGTGTGTTTGGTGGTGTGGGGGGTGTTAATGTTTTGTTACTCCGGCAATTTGGTCCAATCACCCAAACTGTCCATCTGTTAGGGTTCCCTTCAAGGATCATCTCTACATTAATTTGCCTAGCCATTTGAATTATTACCATCATCATATGAACATTTTAGCAAAACACTATGCTAAATATATTTATTTAATCTTGGTCATATCAACAAAGGGATTATTGGTTTGGCCAATTTTTTTTGTAAGGTCATCCTACAATGGAATCTACAAAATGGATCGCTTGAATCATTGGGAGATGGGCCCCACATGCATCCCTTTTTCCTTAAAATGAGAGATCTCTATTTAAAATCTTCTGCATATGTAGACAAGTCAAAGAAAACTACAGAAGATTACAACCTTGATTCTATTCCCTTTGGTTTCTTAGGATCCGCAAAACGAACAAGAAGCGGCTGAGCACAACCCTGAAGTAACATAGAAAAGAAGAATCAAACTAGTTGATGCCTACCAAGTGTAATCAGACTACTGATAAATGCTAGTAAGAAATAGAAAAACTTTACTCTCATAATGAAGGTTCCATTTAATGCTTTGATTGCTGCCAGAGCCATATCTATCTGGGAAAACTTTACAAATCCACACCCTAACCAAAAAAAAAAAAAAACAACATTAACCACATCAAGGAGACACAAACAGGTTATGCTTCCATAAAAATATTTCAATGATTTTACAAAATATACAATGACTAAATCAAAGAAAGAGACTATTTCACCATTATTACTAAATGGGAACAATGTTTGAAATTTGAATACATCCCAACTGATGTTGCCAGTGATAAAAGCGAAGCTATTGGCTATAGAGCCCACTAACTAATTCCACCCTTCTAAGAAAATTAACAAGCATACAAATCGGTTCCTTCTTTTGAAGTAAACTAACAAGCATACAAACCAGTACCGCCCCCCCCCCCCCCCCCCCCACCCCCCCTCCCCCCCTTTTTTAAGTAAATTAACAAGCATACAAATCAGAATGGCTTCATTTATTGTGATGTCAAACGGAACCCAGGACATCTTTCGGTTTTTGAGGCAGGAATAATCAGCGCCTACAATGTAAGATATGTTCAATCTACATGTGACTCAAGTTACAAAGAATAGAGAGATGAACAATGAATACAAAAGACATACCTCGACTCTGCCTCAGTTCATCACGCAAAATGTAGACATCTAAAACAAGACCATATGGTGAAAATATCTGACATACACAACACCATATAATGATCATCTTGAAAATAGTTGAGGGAGTATATAACCAAAAATGGGTTTGGAAAACATTGTTCTTTCACTGCAAGTAGCATGCATGGGTGCATAATAATCAAGTATATCTACAGGAAAAGATGTACATGCATAAAACATAAAAAATAAAAAAGGATATGTGCGCACATGCATGATACATATTAACATATATATTGGTTGTACTGATAATACATGAAGGAATTATTTAGGTGGAATGGGATAAATAAATTTCAACAAACGTAGACCTTACATCCTCAACTTCTTTCCACGAAGCTTCCTTGTTAAGGCCATTGACATACACTTTACCAAGTGTCTCTACCAAGAGGACAAGAAAAGAAAAAGTCATCAGAAGCTGAAGATTATAAGGGGCCCAAATAGGAGTGTTTCATACAAAGTGTTTTACTCCGTAACTTTTGTTAAAGGCACTAAAAGGTTCTATTAACATCCTAATATGGCCTGCAGATTGATCTGGAAGTGCGTTCATCACATAGAAAAACAATCGAAAACGCAACCTAAATCCGTCAATTGCAAACACACAATACACATTCTATCATCATTATTAAAATTCAAACGCAATTTAGAAGATACTTTATCATTCTCTAGCCAAACATAAACAAGGATAAACAAACTATTTCCTCTCCTACAAAATATACTATAAGTCATAACCACATCTGGGGTCACCAAACTTGAAATTGGAATTCATGCCTTCCTCAAGCACAATGGACACTATTGCATTCCTTTTCATTTATAACCAAATAAATACACCGATCTTGATTATTTTTTATTTAAAAGGGTGGTGGATTTTAACTTGACAAGATCCCAGACTTTCATGTTACCGAAAAAAACAACTAAATCTTTCCCAAGTTCAGCAATCATAATCAATAATGAAACCTCTAAATTTCAAGAAAAGTTCATTCATTCAATCTATATCAAATGAGGGGTGAGGATAACAAAATTTTGGAGCATATCTTAATATTCATATCTATCTACTCGAAATGTCAGCACCGGGACTTTCCATACATTTAATTTTCTCTTTAGCATTTTATCTATTTAATTAATTATACCCCTCGAGTTATACAGAAGCAAAATTTCACACAATTGAATAGCATGTAAGCATAATTTATCGTGGAACCTCAAGTAATAAAAAAGTAAACAGAGAATTAGAGCCACAACCATTTCGTTTGGCAGCGGTCGAATAGCTTCTCCTTTTTTAATAGGTCTCTCATTTACTGTTTCGTCAACCATCGTCAACCAAAATCTATGGTTTGCATTAATATTTCTTTTAACTTATGTTGGTGCCCTTTTAAATATCAAAATATTCATTCTAGTACCTACTATATTTTCTCAAAGCAAAGTGAAAATAGCATAGCTTTCATTCTGTACGTACGGATCACATAAGCTTATGCTCTTAAAACACAGTGGTCCATCTGTATCTAACAAGACCCTTGATGAATATGAAATTAAGTAAATTAAACCAGAATGCCTGTAAAACAGATAATTATCAAATTATTTTGCATCAAAATGACGTATCTATGAGACAAGAATGTGATAATGAAGAAAAAAGGAAATTGCATTATTTCAATACTGTATGTCTCACAAGTTCTTAATAGGATAAAAATCCACCTAGTTTTATATTCATTATGGATCCTGTTTGACACATATCAAATCAGTATTTTTTTTCCACATAACTTTGATGTTCAGTATAAACTTGTTTGATGCGTATCAACCAAATTTTTAGAAACACAAAGTGTGTGCAAAACAGAGGTGAAAAGCCAAAGTTATGGCATAAATTTTGAAAAAATTATTTCATTTTTTATTTATGAATTTGGGCATGCTTATGAGTGAATGGAACTAATAAAAAAATTTGTATCGCAGTTACTCTAGAAACTCTTACAGATTAAGAACACAGATCTAACAATTCGTAGGATACTGAGTTGCTGGTTTACAATCCATAAAATGGTTCCATAATAATTCCTTAAACAATAGAAAATTACCAAGGCGTTCCAATTCCCCATCGGCATATTTAACTGTCATCGGGAAGGCTTCCTGGACAAAGAAATTATGACAAACAGGAAACTTAATAACATGATGAATGACATCAATAGACATCTATTGTGTTCATCTAGCAACAACTAAACTCACCCCAGGAAAATAGTGCTGATTATTTAAAGCTGTAATGGCCCTGTCTGCTTCATGTTGTGTTGCAAATTTCACAAAACAAGTTCCTGCAGGAGTAAAGCTAAATCTGTTTGCTTACTTTCATAGTTGTGGAAATACAAACACCCAAACACAAATGGTGGTAGCAAAAAAATGTTAATTTTTTAAAACTTGACTACCTCAAACACAGTAACAATCACTAATGAAGAATTTTGGAAATAATTTTTTTTTCTTGGTAAGCTATAGGGGAAACATGAGCAAATGGGTGCTCTTATCAGCCCCTCCAAAGACAGAGAAACAGAAACATCATTTCGTTGCTTGCACTAACAAGCAGTGTTTAAAATATCCACAAAATTGTCGATATTTCCGTCAATATCCGAAAAATCAAGGATTGATATGGAAGGGGGGTGGAATGCAAACTTCACCCTATATAGGCGAGATAAAAGAAAATCGATGAATATCGATGATATTTACCAATTCACTACAAAAAATTTGCTGAAACCCATTGTAGATTTTGAACTTTTGAATTTTTTCTCTAATTTTGACTAAATCTAAATGAGTTGATATGCCCAACTCATTGCAAATTACCATAATTTCCGTCGAAGGCAACCGATATTGATATTAGTATCGATATTTCCATAAATTTACATATCGATATTTCCACCTATATTGATATTTTAAACACTGCTACCAAGGGGAATTGAACCAAGATTCTATCCTTCACCCACCCCATAATGATTGAGGTACCTTGTTGGTGGCCAGTCCTCTTATCCCGCAAAATCACAACCTCAACAACGCTTCCAAATTGCTCAAACAAGGGGCGAATCTAACATTTAGAAGAAGGAAAAAAAATGTCATTTTATAGAATTAACAGTTACAAGACCAATGCATGAATTTGAAAGAGAAAACACGCTAAAACACAGCCATTTTTGATAGGTTGTACAGAAAAACGAATACTAAAGACATTTTGACAGCTCAAGGGGACCTATTACTTACAAGTTCCTCTGTCGCTATTCGGGAAACCTGTGCAACATAAAGTTTAACATGTAGGGCGCTTTCAATGTTATCTGAAAGACAAAAACCACCAAATGAGAGAAACAGAGGTATTACAACAAAAATAGCTTTGGAGGGGATACAATAAATAAACTTGAAACTAAAACACAAATGTGGTTTCCATGCGTTTTAAAAGTATTCTGCTAAACATTGATAAAAACTTTCCCTAGATGATAAACAGCGAAAATGAGTAACATTAGCAATACATGGCAGTATTATTGTCAGCCTCGACTGATAGATTGTTTCGATTCGACTATTTTCCTGCATTTTCTTGCCCACCAAACAGAGCATTAAGGAAAATACAAATGTATGTAATAATTAGTAACTTTTGTATTCATTTTGATTAGTGGAAAATTGGTCACCAGCTTAACTTACTGTCAAACTCCACCAATACAATGTTTGGGTTCGACCATTTTCCTGCGTTTTCTTAACTACCAAACGGAGCATTAAGGAAAATACAAATGTATGTAATATTAGTAACTTTTGTTCATATTCATTTTGATCAGTGCAAAAATGGTCACTAGCTTAACTTATTGTCAGCCTCCACCAATACATTGTTTCGGTTCGACTATTTTCCTGCATTTTCTAAGCTACCAAACAGAGAATTAAGGCAAATACAAATGTATGTAAAAGAAGTTGATATAGAATTGATAATCAAACCTGGAGAGAGTCCTTGATTATGCTGAGACCAAGCCCTTCTGCGTACAGAAAAAGGCACCGGATGGAAGGGGCCATTAGAATGGTTGCCATGATGGTGGTGGTCGTAGTGGTTGGAATCCTGGTGGTGATTGTGGTGGATAAGATGGTTGTTGTGGTGGGCATCGACGGAGGGCCAAGGCGAAGAGGAAGAGAAAGTCCCAGGCTGCGAGACGCGCTGGGACTCCAGGTGGTCTCCGTGCCTCTCCAGCTTCGCAGATTTTGTGCCTGGATTATTTTATGCGAAACCCTAACCCTAAGCCTAAAATTACAGACCTGAGCGCAATTGAAGAAGAAGGCGCCACGCTACAATGGTGGAGCTCGCGCGCAGCCGATTCCTTCTCACTTAACGAGAAACAGTTACTGGTATATATTTTGTTTTAGGTATTACATGAGCCCCTATGCAATTTATCCAATTTTGGTCAAGTATAAATTTCTTCGAATATTGTCGTATTAGATCGTCCCGATAAACGTCAAAAGATAAATATAAAATTTTATTTTAGTAGTTGACATGGCAATTTAAGATTTTTTCTTTCTCCAATTCGTATGTTTCTTTTGCTATAAATGATATCTGTATTGCTTTTGAAAAAATAATTATATATGTATTGATCCATTCTCAAAACGAAATCAATTAAAATAAATTTTCAAGATTTACAATTGATACATTAATAGAATCCATACAATACAATAATTAAAAAAATTTAATACCTTTTCTCATATGTTGTATTGTTGCGGGTTTTAGAAGTGTATAAAACATACAAAAAATTATATATATGTGTACAACTATACTAATAAGCACTTTTGAACTTCCTTGATTGTCACTTCATAGCTTTCTTCTTCATTTTTTGACATCTAGCGAATGAGAGCAATTTCTGAATCGCTAAAAAATTGAATAAGTTCTTCAGTTTCAAATGCATTTAATAAGATACGATGATGATCTACAAATTTAAGTGCACCATGAGAAAAAAAAAAAAAAAAATTTCAGCTGCTCATCATAATTAAGGTTGGCATATGTTAAAACATACATATAACAAAAAATTAGACTTTTCGAATTTGAGTTATATATTATAGATGGCATCTCAGCATGCAAGTTTGAATAAGGTTAACTAATATGATTATTTTCATTCCATGAGAATGTCATTATTACCGGTGAGAATGTTTTATCATCTATGCGAGAGAACGATTGAAACTTTATTGTAGGATGTTAAATCTTTAGTTTAAATTTGAAGCTAAATTCATTAATGTTAAGGTTTTAGCCTCAAGTATCTTTAGACCATCTCCTACTTATGGGTTAAAACTTAAAATTTTTAACCCATAAAATTTAGGTTTTAACCGAGAAACAACTTTTTTTGCTTTAATCCTTATAAGTTAAACATTTAGCCCCAAATTATTAAAGAATAAATTTAAGCTATTTTTTTTTCATCAAAGTAACTTTTTTAAAAGAAAAAAAATTATGTAAACTATCTTAATTTAATTTTATGAACATTTTAACCTAAAAATATTTAGATTCCGACAAATATTGAAAGATAACAAACCGGCATCATGAAACTTGTGAAACACTATGAAAGAATATGAAACACATAAAAGATTTTTTTTTTAATTACTTTAGTCGTTGGATTTAAATTTAGATTGTTAGATTTTTTTTTTTATCAAATTAGATCTTAACCGTTGGATTTAATGAATTTATAAATATAAAACTAAAAAATATATACATTAGTGGTGGGATAGCCCTCCTAACCTAGGTGGGAATCCTGGGCTAAATTTGGCTCAGAAATAAGTTTTGAGTTTTAACTCATATTTGCCTCAAAGGTTGGAGCAAGTTGGGTTAAGTTTAGAACTTAAAATTTGAGTTTTACTACAAGGGTTGGATTAGGCCTTAGGCAAGACATGCAATCCAAAATTAAGACAAATTTGAAGAGTCTGAAATGAGACTTCATTTCTAAAGGTTAGAACTTTTCTCGCCTGCTATTAAATGAAAGTTTTGAGGGTTGTCTGGTTTAGAGAAAGAGAACACGTTGTTATCTAGTTTAAAGCAAAAAACTAAGAGCTCAGGTAGACTAAAGTAGGAGCAACGATACTAAACTAAAGAGGTAGGCAAAGTTGTAATAAGACAAACTAAGGAAGGGAAAAATTGAGAGAACAATGTGCTTAAAGCATTTCCAGCGTTGGGCAATTATCTTGGGCATAGGTTATTCAATGCCCCAATCCCCCAGCAATTCGCTCCAGCCCAGTCCAATCACCTCCAGGCGAGTTCAAGCTCTCCACCAGGCAAAAATCCACAAGCCCAGCTCACAGGGGCAGCGACATAAGGTGATGTCAGCCACTAAGAAAAAAAATTATAAAATACTAATATAAATTATAAATTATAAAACTTTAATGAAAAATTATAAAATTATAAAAAAAAATAATTAAAAATAAAAAAATTATATAAAAAAAAATATCTAACCATGTTGTTCCAGTGTAAACCACATTTTAATATTTTCAAATACTTTTAATCAAATTTGTATTATTATTAAAAATAAAAAAATATTTTTATTATATTATCAAATAAAAAATATTAATATTTTAATATGAATTGTCCGAACTATTCAGTTTAAGAGTGAAGATATACTTAGACAATTATTGTTCACTAAAGATAATTACAGTTTACTTAAGCAAATTGAACTTATAACCCAGGAGCTTGACAACACGGAACTGCTCTGATAAACAATGTTTCAATACATGGCTATATAATCTTAAGGAGGTGTAGTCAAACTCGGATTTGAGAGGATTTTAAAAGACTTTAAAATCCTAGTGTAGTCAACTAAAAAATTTTAAAAGATTTTAGAATCCATGCAAATCTAGGTGTATTCCAGTGAGATTTTATTACAGATTTTAAAGTCCATCCAAATCTAAATGTATTCAAAAAATTAAGATTTTGTAGGATTTCAATAAGTGGTGGATTTTGTGGGATTTGAGAGAAAGAAGTATATATAACCAAAACTAGATCCTCTCATGAGCTCAGGATGGGGATCCTCCTGAGCAGCCCATCCGGACCGTTGAAACTTGATCCAACAGCTCCAAATAGGGGGCCCCTCTAAAAGTTATAATAATTGCAGTCGTTGGATCAAGTTTGAACGTCCTGGATGGGCTGCTCATAAAGACCCCCATCCTGAGCTCAAGAAAGGATCCAGTTCCTATATAACCAAGACAAAAAAGAATCCTACCTCACCTCCTAGGATTTCAAATCTTATTCCATCTGGGGAGTCCTTAAATGTCTTACAACCCTTGCCACACACATAGTGACAAACCGACGAACACCAAATACTACCAGAGACGTATATGCAAAGAATACATGGCCACATTGGTCTAATAAGAATTTCAAAAATACTTCCATCATAAGAAAGAAAAGCTCAAAAAGGACTGATCCTAATAAATTCCCTAATGTCAATAACTCAAATGCATGCTCCAGATTGAGTAGTGACGGTGCCTAGAAATTTGAGTTACCAACAGCAGAGACTTTGCAAATGGGAAGTTTGGTTCATTTTCTTTCTGTCATAGGCCTCAAAATTCAACGGCTGTTGAATCTCTGGGATGATGCCTAGAACGTGAATTCAATGCAGAAAAGGATTTGGGTAGCGATCAATGTGGCCATGTATTATCTGCATATGCGTCTCCAAATATCAGTGTTGGTGCCTAACCTATTTTTCACACAGATATTCAGATGTCGATGAGGATGGGTTCAGTGTTCCTCCAAATGCTGCCAGAATTGTTGATGAAATAGATTTTGGCGACGAGGCTGATGAGGATGATTTTTCAAAGGTTGTTGCAATTGTTGGTGAACTAGAACATCTGCTAAATAAATAAAAAATCAACTGAACAAAAGGCTAGTCGTTGATGAGGGTTTCTGGTGGCGTAGCAGTGCTCAATTGAGAGAGAGATGGAGCTATGATAAGGTGAAGGGGACACGAAATAGGAATGGGATAAAGTGGCTATCAAGTACAGTAGGGCAAGGGAAAAGATTTTCCTTTTTTTTTTAATAAAAAAAATTATATGAAAATCCACCAAAATGCATCAAAATGTACAAAGCAAATTCATTCAAATTCTTTAAAATCCATATGGATTTTATAAGAGTCTTAAATCTTTCTAAATCTTATCAAATCCATTACTTTTAAAATTCTTTAAATTTTTTAAATCATAATTTAACTACACTCCTAATATACGTAAGCATGTGTCCACTGACTTTTTGAAAACTCTAGGGGGGACAAGGACAAACCATTTTTTCTTTTTTGTTGGTACGGATTAATATTATGTTAAAAAAAAAAAAAAAGAACGAAAATTCAGCAGGGAGTAAGAAGGTAAACAAACCCAGCCCTAGCCCGGACCTTCTTAGCTAAAGCTTTAGGCTTTCTCCTCGTCCACGTCCCAAAACCTCTGCTTTGCGGTTCCACTCTCATCACTCGTCAGGTAACCATTCCGTACACCAAATATCATTCAATTTTTGTGTCATTTTTTCAAGCATTCACTCGTAGGCCCCTAATTTGCCCTTTTATGTTATTGTATAATCAAGTAATCGATTTATTTATTTTTGTTTTAGTTTCAATTTTCATGAGGATTTTCTGCTCAAAGAAACAGACCCTGTTATCCAATTTAATCCTTTATTGTTGCTTTTGTTTATAAATTTGTGCAAGTGTTTTTGCTTCGCAATAATTGAACTTAATCGAATTGGGGATTGGGTTTTTGTAGAATTGCGATATTGATAAAACGGTGTTTGGGAATTTCTTAAAGTTGTGTCCTCTTGTGTGTAATTTGTTGGCTGTGGAGGATATTGATAAGGTTTGGTTTGTGTTGTGGAATGTTAGAATTCATAAGGTCGAATTCAATGGAAACGAGACCGGACCCAGATATCGATGATGACTTTAGCGAGCTATACAAGGAGTACACTGGCCCTCCTGGGTCAAATGCCACAAACACACAAGATAGGGCAAAACCAAACAAAAGGTCTCTTGCCGGGTCTGATGAGGAAGAGGAAGCTCGTGACCCCAATGCTGTCCCAACTGATTTTACCAGCCGAGAAGCTAAGATGTGGGAGGCCAAGTCAAAAGCTACTGAGAGGAATTGGAAGAAGAGGAAGGAAGAGGAAATGATTTGCAAAATCTGCGGGGAACCAGGTCACTTTACTCAGGTAAAATTTTAGTGCTTTATTTATTTTTCTGGCCATCTTTATGCAAAATCACACACATATGCAAACACATTACATTCTTTTTTTGTTTTTCAATTGCTTATGCTATAAAATGTTTTTTTTCTACTTAAAGACATTCATAAGTTATGTTCGGGAATGTTGAGGATGCCCTTACATTTTTTATATTTGATGTTCTCGTTATGTTTGCATATCTTAGACCATCTTGTAATTGTCTAAATAATTGGAAGGAGTGTTTGTCCCAGAACTTTACTTTGGTTCTCTGCTAGATTTCCTGTTCAGATAGATTTGTATTGCTTTCTCCTTCTAGATTTTCTGCATGCATACTAGTCATGTTGAGGACCTAATTTTGTTCAGCACACCAGTGGTTTCTGACTTTTAGGCTTACTGGATAAGATTTTCATTGTCTGCATCGCGTACACACCCATCCACCCACGCACAAGCACATCTCATTAGACATCCAACATGGGCAGGAAGAAAATAATTTTTATTCATAAAGAACATAACCCATTTACCTCTGTGGGTTGCATTAGAAAGCTAATGTCAATTGGCATTGCTTTTCCACAATAACTAATCAAGCTGTAACTCATGTAGGTTGTCACTATTTATTATTTAAATAAATAAATATAGTGCGTTCTGTGGTGCTGCATTAAGAATTTTACCAAAATGACTTCCATCTTTTTCTTTCAAAGAAAATTTGGTACTTTGTAAGTTGTTTTGCAAAATATAGTCTAGTCAGAAATTTATGAAGGCTACAGAAGCTAATATAACCTCATAGCATGTTTATAGACTTGTTAGTTTTTCTATCTCATACCTAAATGTTTGTCGTTTATATCATGGTAATAGAAGGGTGTTACTTTTTCTTTATGATAACATGTTCTAATGCATTTTAGTAATTCTCTAGGGTTGCCCATCTACCCTTGGTGCAAGTCGCAAGTCTCAAGATTTCTTTGAAAGGGTTCCTGCTAGAGAAAAGCATGTAAGGTCCCTTTTCACTGAGAAAGTGATAAACAGGATTGAAATGGATATTGGATGCTATGTTAAGATGGACGAGAAATTTATCATTGTCAGTGGCAAGGATAGGTTAGTATTAAGAAAGGGTGTGGATGCTGTGCATAAGGTGATTAAAGAGGAAGGCGAACAAAGGGATGGTTCTGGTTCTCAAGTGACTAGATCAAGGTCACCTGAACGAAGCCCTGTTGGTGCACGGTTACAACGTTCTGAATCCCAGAGGTCTCATTCTGGTCCCCGGAACGGGTCGCATTTTCAACAAAGGTTTCACAGGCAAGATAAATTTGTTGAACACCAAATACGTCATGATATGCAGAAATTTTCCAGGGGTCCTCCACAAGGTAGGGACAGCATCGGATATATTTACAATGTATATAGGGGGCTGTCATGTTTGTAGCTTGTTAGGTTCGTATAGAATTTTCTACCTGCTGTCTGTAAAATCTTTCCCATTTATCAAAGAATCAGCTTGTTGCTTAGATTTGTTTGCAGCAAGAGGTAAGTTCTTATCTTCAAGAATTGTGTGTAGAGTTCTGAAGTAGCTTTCATGGTTGGGTCTGAATTGATCGGGTTGTCTCCAAAATGAAATCATTTACTCAAAACTATCCAGAAATTTTCTCAGATGGTTTGTCTCTGAAAATAAGATAGTATGTTGAATTAAAGCTGCCATCTGTGTTAGCATCTTGAATCAAGTGCTTGACATACTCTTCATTTCATGAAGCTTATGGTAATAACGGAGCTAGAGGTCGGCCAAGTCGTTCAAATTCTCCAGCTCGTGCCCCTTACATGGGAAACTCATATAATTCATATGATGGTCATAATCAAAGCATGTCTGCTTATAGAAATGATGGATGGAATTCTGATAAAAAAGGATCTGATATGCAATCTGGTCGTCAGTTTGATTACTCTGCCATCCCCCAGACATTGGAAGAAGTAGAATTGGAGTACAAACGAGAGGCAATGGAACTTGGAAGAATTCGTGACAAGGAAGAAGATGAAGAAAATTGCAGACATCGTGAGGTATGGACTACGTTACAACTCTGGGAACAAATAAAACGAGAAACACTTTTATGTCTTTTTTTTCTTGCTTGAAGTGATAATTGGTTTATTAACCCATCCTATAACTCTACGTTAACATCAGGTATACTCGTGTCTAGTATATCTCCAGCTACCCTGACTGTTTTCTTGCCAATCGTAATTGTTTTAAAAGACTTGAACTCTTGGTACAAATTTCTTGTTGCTGACATTTTATTATACGGATAAAAGGCGATTAGGGAAATAAGAGAGAACCACATGAAGAAACTGGCCCCCCTGAGGGGCATGCATGCAAAGCAGTGGGAGGACTTTCTTCAACTTGATGCCCAGAGGCGTCAACAACAGGCTAATCAGCAGATGTCGACTTTGGGTTTTGGTGGTTATAAATCACACAATTATTCTGAATACGACAGCTCCTCGGCCAATCCTCAGTATGCCGGGGAAAGTTTAGCCATGGATTCAAGGAGCAGGTACCCCAATCCCAACCCTATGGAAACCTATCCTTCAAGGCCTCGTGACAATTTTGGTGAGTTTCAGCGTCAGAGGCACGAGGGTTATGGGAGAGGTTACAATCGATACTGAATGGGAATCTGCAATTACGTTGGTGAGTAGTCTTACTCTTCAGGAAAATTAACAAGGATATAATTGCTACCTTTATGGCTTGTCCTCAAAATTGAATATCCAATGCTCGTATAATGTGGTTCTTTGGGATGAGAAGTGAAATTTTATTCGGGTGCTTTTAGCAACCACATAGCATGTTTTTTTTAAGCATATCCGTGGGTGTTGGTTGGGTAGGGAGAGCAGATGTTGGCGTTGTTAACGTGGTGTTGCAGATTATTGTTTGCTTATTTAGCACTAGCTTAATTTTCACTCGGAAAATTTTTCAGGGTCCAGGTCTGTCTGGGTCAAGTAGCAGTATGCACAGGAGAGCACCAAATCTAGGTAAGTATGTTATGATTTTAAAACGAGGAGAGAAATGGTGGGCATTACGGTCTGCTGTTTTACAGTTTGGTGGCTCAGTTCAGTTTAGAGCTTCTTGTAAAGATGTGAGCCATGATTTGCGTTGGCTGGTCTAGTGTTTGGATATTGAGATTGTTTATTGAATTATGGTTAAGTTGATAGACTTTTCATCTTATTAGCACACGAATATGAATGTTTTTTTGTTTAAACTTATGAATTGTTCCGCTTTAACATACCAACTGCTTACGTTTGAATATGGGATGAGAGGCGCCCATGCAGGTAATAAGTTTTCATTTGGACCTTGATAGGCATCTGCGTTCTGAATGTTTTAGGATTGGGAGAAGGTTGTTGGGTTGATGGCAATATACTTAGCTGGTATGAATATGCTTGTTCTGATTCGTGTTTGATTTTTAACGCCGTCTATTGTGAAAGAAAACCGCGGTTTTAATTCTCCAAGTTTAGTAATATCTGTTCTGGAAAAAGATAATTAAGCAAATTCCGAGCCAGATTCATGTTCAGGTTGAGAGTCCGTAGCTGAGGAAACACAACTTCAACCGACTAATTCAAATCCACTTTTGAATTACGAGATTTGGCGCTGATTGTTTGTAGGCTGCAAACCGATTAATTCCACATCAAAATTCAAATGCTAATCCAAGTCCAACCCGGGAACTATTTGACTCTTGTTTGTTGGAAAATTAGTTTTATTAGTATAGTTATTTTATTTGTTTTCTTGTGGGCCAAGGATTGGGATTTCTAGCCCGTTAAGTTTTAGATCTCTTGCTCGTTAAGGATTTGCATTCGTTTGCTCCTACGTAGTCTCTACGGTTATGTATCTTTCTTGGTAATTTTGTAGTGTTTCTTTGTTTTCAGTTAATGAAGTATTATTTCGTAGTTTTTATTTTTATTTTTTATATAAAACATATAATTTTGTAGTTGTGTAGTCTGTTTGTTGTTGTGTAGTCTGTTTGTTCTTTTGTATTTTATTCGTATTTTGCTTTTCAACTCTAATTTCTTCAATTTCCTTCACTTTGAAGGTTGTTTAATGTTCCACGTAACTAAGTCTGCAAGTTGAATTGGTGTTTTTGATTCCCAAAGTATAATAACTTGAAAATTTTGAATCTAATTATTTTTTTTTTGAAAAATTGGAATGGATTTAGGGATTCCGATAATTCCAAATTTTCAATCCAATTTTTTTTGAAAGTGTTTTGAACTTTTTCTAACAAAAATATTTCGAAATATTCTGATTTTTTTTTATTAAAAAGGATAAGCATACTAGTATACCAAACAATTATTTAAAATTAAACATAAAAATATACTATTAGTACATAATAAAAAAGGACAATAAACTGCATGTACAATAAAGTTTGGGAATATTAAAAACGTATAAATTATAGGAATTTCCGAATTATGTTACGAACTTTTCAAGATTAATCCAATTCCACAAGTTTTCAATCTGAAAATTGTGATTTGATTCCAAAATTTTAGAACCGAAATTGAAAACCTTGTTTCCGATCCGATTTGTCCGAAAATCACCCGTACATATAACTCACTCAACAAAACAGCATAGAGTGCGCTCTGATGGTGTGGTTTGGGAGGACTGGAGTAGAGGCCCTGGAGGGTGCCTCAGGGAAAAATCAGCCAAGCTTGTTTGAATGTTCAAGCTTACTCTGAAATTGGGACAAGGCTGTTGACTTTCGGGTTCCAGCAATGTCGACAACAATGCACCAACGAATAGGATGCAATAGGTTGTTTGAATGAGATTCGTGTGAATTGTAATATGGAAGTGTGACTAATTGTGCTTAATTATGTAATTCATTGACTTTGCCATATACGTGTTTTATCTATTAAGTTGTTTCAAGAATTTGTCCCTGGTCGATCGCTTGTTAATACGGTCTAGTAATAATTTTCTTCATTTGTAAGTGAGAAGTCTTAATTTGATTCTCGTTAAAAATAAATTTGAACCAAAGTATTATGACTAACTCATTGTAAGATTTAAATCATTCTCTCGTTCTTTTGAACATATAATATCGTATGTAAAAAAAAAACAAAAAACAAAAAATTATCCGTCTTGTATCGTAAAAACTGTTGGGCCTTTTTTATTTCAGGAGCTCACTCTGTGCGTGGGACCCAAGCTTATGGACAACCAAATGCTTACGACGTCATGGTAAATTTTTTCGAGTACTCAAAATATAGTTCAGTGCACCACGAGTCATATATAGGTGGAGAAATATTAAAATAAAATTTCTGCTCCACACGTAATGTTGAGCTGTATTTGGATAACATAGAAAAATCTCTGCTGTTTTCTTTTCGGCTACAACACAGTAGCAATCAAAACACACGACATAGTAAACATAAGAATATTCTACATCTGTCCATCTTTGTCTTTTTATAGTTTCTTGTTCCCGTTGGGTTTCTCCTTAAGAAAAAGGTTGATTTGTGCCGTACTCTGCGTGCGTCCTAACTCCACCATCAGCTGCAGCACTTCTCTCTTCCACGCAAAGGTACCATCTATTTTTTGTTTCCCTTTGAACTTCGTAATCCAATTTTTTTTTTCGTTTGGGGGGATTTTTTATTATTCTTTTTGCACAGCAGTGTAGTTTGAGCTGCACTTTGACGGTTGACTTGTGAGATTCAGCTTTTTTGGGTGTTCATAATTTTATTGTCTTTATTTATTGCAAGACTTTCTGTATCACATTCAGCCCCACACTTCTCTGTAGTTTGTTCTATAAAGATTGAGACTTTGGAACTTGTTTAATTTGCAGACTTCTTCTGATAGTTTTTGAAGGTTGTTCACTGTGATTCTTTGAGAATCATAGGCTTACGATAATTTGTAACCAGGAATTACATCTTAAGCCGTAACCGAAAAAAGGGGTTGTCCTTGTCCTACTTTGATTGGTAGGGTTCTTATATGGCTTCAGGAGAAAAAGAGTTTGAAATAGAACTTGAAAGTGGAGGGAGTAACGGACAGAAAATTAAGTTCTTGGGTGGTGTTTTCGGTTGGTTTTTGCATTTGAATGAATCAATTACATGTACATGTGGCATTGTATCATCTAGCAGTCTGGAAAAATCTGGCGAGGTTTCGAATGTCAGTGTAGAGACACTAATAGAAAGGAATTCAGAAGGGGAAGAGAGTCAAGGACATATGCCCCGAGCAGAAAAGGCGTGTGAGAATGAGCAGTGTAAGAAGAAAAACTCTAGGAATGCTCCTAAGCCACCACGACCTCCTAAACGTCCATCACTGGATGCCGCTGACCAGAAGTTGGTTAGGGAGATCACTGAGCTGGCCAAGAGAAAGCGTGCAAGAATTGAACAAATGAAAGTAGCAAAGAAGATGAAAGCATCCAAATCATCCTCTTTCTACAGCGGCATATCTGCTCTGATCATCACACTACTCTTCTTCTTTGTCGTAATCTTTCAAGGTAATATTTGTTTTTCTCATTCAATTGGGCCCTTTTCCTTTCGTTTCCTTCTTTTTGTATGTCATACTATAATTAATGAATGCTACATTTTATCTCATTCTGTTGCTTATAAGATACATCTGATGATTTAACAGAACTTCCGAAAGGTTGAATACTGATTGAAAGAAAAAATTGGTTTATCTATATTCGAAAACATTGCATTGATTTTTTGGTACATTTCTCTTTTAGTATTCCTATTTGTGAGTTTAAGCAGGGATCTTGAAGCTGCTCTTTTTGTGGTCTCGTTTACTTATTCTTTTGTGGGTTCTGGCTCTTTCCTTGATTTCATTGGTGGTCTTTGTTTTCATGTCGTTTTTCGCATTTGTTTTGATATGCACCTACTGAACCGTAAATTTCCCAAGTATACAATTGAACTTTATTCAAGTCAGGGTACATTACCTGTACAAAAAACAGTAATTAACTGAAGATGGAAGGGAAAGGTAATTGAAAGAATATATAAAATATCATACTTATCTGCACTAGTCAGGATCTGAATTCATCGGAATTCTAATGTATGATGCTGTAGGCTTGCTAAGATTGCAATCTATAAATTCTCTTCCGGCTCCTCGCTGTGAAATTTATATAGCTCTTTCTAGTCTTTGAAAATGTGATCCTTTTCTAAGTTTGTGTTATTTGCGTTTCCATACAAAATCCCTTTTACTATTGTATTCTTAAGCCTGCTCATGTACACATGGATTATTGGTTGTTACTTTGTCTGTTGCTTTAGTCCATGTTCGTTAACTCATCAGTTCATCCTCCAACTCCTCCAATGGGGCCACTTGTTTTTCGAATAAATACATTGGGAACATATACCTATGTACCAGAACTGATGGTGAAGTAGATTATTTACTGAATTTATTTAACTCTGTTCTTACCATCACTCACTTTACCAACGAAGTAACCTTCGCGTCCCTAACTGTGTCCTCCATCCATTGAGTTGTTCACTAAAATCATTTTTTTTTTCTTTCTAATTACTGGCCCTACTCAATCATATCTGTAAAAGCATAATGCTTGTTGAACTGTTTCTGTAGGGATAAGCTCCAGAAGCGTTCCAACTGTGGGTACACAGGGGTCTCCTGAGCCAGCAGTCGCAACAACTCAAGGTTTTGTCCCAGTTGAATACCACAAAAGTGACATACGACGTTCTACCAATCAAAAGTTTGTATTCCATTTCCCTATTTTCACGATCTCCATACTTTATATCTAAAACATTAAGAAACTTGAGTACTCTTTCTAATCCCATCCTCCCCCCTCGCGTGTATATTGTTAATGCAGCTTTGGGGAAGACCAGATTTCCCGTTCAGGTGGATGGGGAAGTTGATGGACAATATGAAAGGGGGTTGACGATATTGGTGCTTACATTTTGCTGCCTATGGTCCATGGAATTAATACAGATCTGTTTTCTTCCTCCATTCTTTAATGTTGCAGCAGGGGTATCTTTTTTCCTTTGTATATATATGTACATACAGCCAAAAACTACACGAGATTTTCGACTCTTGTACAGTATTTTAATTCATTTGGTGAAAAGAATGATTGTGTTGATGAGAAATGTAGTGCTTATTTGTTGCGGAATTAGTATGTCACAAGTTCACTACATGCAATCAAACATGAAAGTCAAGTCTTAATGGTACCTTGTTGGAGAAGTTAGCAAGTGCAGATCGAGTGGCAAAGTTCATGCAAGATACGTTTTACTGGTCCTGGACAATGTTGCACGGGTTGGGGGTCGGCTCGGTAGGGGGAATGGGTTTAAATATGGAATATACTGACCGCCTTAAACCCTCTCTACCTTAGTGATCTCCCCAACTCCCAAGTCCTGAGGTATAAGGTTCTGAGGCAGGTCAGAGTTCTTCTAATTATAGCCCTCTTCTATTGTTGCATATTGTGATGATTGCCAAATCCTTGTATCTAAATCCGAAATTGGAGTGAGGTTCTCACGACTATTGCTTGCTTCCAAAGCCTCCACCATAGATAGAATCCGCCACAGAATAATGCCCCATACTCTCGGTTTGCTCTCCAACGGGTTGGTCATGGCAACCCGTGAGAACAACGCTCAATCATCAAAGCGTCTTATCCTCAAAATTTTAAATAACTAGTTTTCAAGTACCATGAAACCCCGGAGTCTTTAGACTCTCACATTTCATCTTCCTTAAAAAAATTGTCCTGAACAGTCACCAAAAACAACAAACAGTAGGCATTTCTCCCACCACTCTCTTTCCTTTACTGCTCACTGTCACACACACAAACCCTAATAAAATTGAAAAAAATTCTGCTCACACAAACATGGTGTGTGAGTCTCTACCAGGAAGAGAAAATCGTCACCGTATAAAACACACAAAAAGATTCACAGAAAATTAAGAAGTCGGTAATAATATTATCCTTCATTTATTCATTACAACAGAAATCAACATCCTTTACAGTCCATAGCCAATAGTACGTCCGTACTTAGGGTACCAATTAAAATACGGAATGATTTTAATGTCGGACTGGCTGGTCTCCTTCTCCGGGAATAAAAAACAAAGGAGTTCAATTTCCTAAAATGCTGCAGAGGCTTGTCCCAGATAAGAGCTGTCATAATCTGCGGTGGTGAAGCGGGGGTCAGGCAGCGTCCTATCCGACACATTGTAGGCCTCAAGGATAAGGTGATACTCGATGTCATGATCTACCACCTGTGTCTCGCCTGTGTACGAGGCCGAGTACGTCAAATTGTTCACTGGAGGCCGAGATTTCTTGTTGTACTCCGACACTGCGAAATTTGCAATCTCTTGGACAAGGGGGTCCTTGAGGTTAGGTATTTTCTTCCAGCCACCCACCTGTTGTCCGTGTGCGACTGTGGCAGCGGCGGCCACAAGAGCAAGGACAGCCGCGGGTGGGAGGCAGTACTGATGGCGCATCATGACTCCTTTATTTCTTTGTTTAAATTGTTTGGTTTTCTTGACTACGAAGTGACTTGCATTGCATTGGAATTTGGAGGGGTACATGTATGTATTTTGAGTAATGTTAGGGAGATTAAATTTTGTAAATTAAATGATATGGAAGTTGATCACTGAATTATTATTTAAACATTGATAAACAAATTCATTTTCCATTGGTAACACATCATTTAGTTTGCAAATTTAATTTCCCTAGCATTATTCATATATTTTACGCGTGCAACAGGTCACTAATCCGTCAAAGATTTCTGTTGTAATTTAATTCTATTTTTCAAAAAATAAGAAAATGGCAGAAAGATACCATTCCTTGCATCTCTTTGCTACGGTATAGATATTTGTTACACTGTAATAACCTTTTGTATTTGACACATATGGTAAAGGGCCAAATATGAACGGAGCCCGTTAGACCAACTTCAACCCATGACCTAAAACCTATAATTTTCCTTCTATTCTCCCCTCAATCCATTCCAACTCATATTCTAATTTAGACTTAAAACCTAAAAGCTAAAAAAAAAAGCTAGATTTAGCCCAAGATTTAGACCAAGATTAGTGATGGAGCCCCACCCACATTGGCGTGTCTCCCATTTGTCTGCCAATAAAATTAAGCCCAATGGCTCTTTTGGTTGATCAACGACTCACACTCAAATATGTTGTTGGTTATCCAACGGTTCATATTTAACGGTAAAAAAATAAAAAAATCTAACAACCTAATTTTAAATTCAACGGTTAAAATAATTATTTTACTCAAAATTCACCCAAAAATTCTATAAATACCTACATATTTGTTGAAACATTCACACAAAACTCACTTTTCTCCTACAATTCTTCCAATTTTGTTTTTCTACCATCTTCCAAAACCATGTGTTTGCTCATGTGTCTTGAATTTATACATCTCTATCATGTGTTTCATATTCTTCTTTAATATTTCATGAGTTTCATGTGTTGGTTTAGTGATTTTTCAATGTTTATCAGAATTTAAAAATTTTTGGGTTAAAATGTTCATAAAATTAATTTAGGATAGTCTACATAATTTTATTTTAAAGTTAATTTAAAAAAAAAAAGTTACCTAAATTCATTTTTTAATAATCCAAAGCTAAAATTTTAAACCATAAATGTTGGAACAAAAAAACTATTTCTAGATTAAAAATTTAGGTTTTAAGCTAAGGTCGGAGATAGTCTTAGGGGTGGGCACAGGGCCAGAATTTGAAGAGATCGGACCGGATCCGTTTGAAAATGCAACGGGGCGAGTAATAGGATCCTGAAACTCGGAACCGGTCCTAACTCGACTTGTTTAAAATGGGCCGGTTCCTACGGGTCCACAGGTCCTCCGTTTTCAAATTTACAATTTTTTTTTTTTGTTTGACAACTTTTGGAGATGTACATCCACAACAATGAAGCGTCCACGATGATAATCCATGCCTACAAACCCAATTGGTTTTATTTACTAACTAAAAAATAAAGATGGCTCAAGCCGAGCTGTTCTAAGAACAAACGAATTCAGAAACAACCAAGGGAATGTTCAATGAAAACCCAAACGCTCTAAGAACCCACAACAAATTCACAAAAAAGACAAAGGGCATGTTCAATGAAAGCCCAGGTGCTCTAAAGTCTAAACTCCACAACAAATTCAAAAAAAGAAAAGAAAAAAAAATACCCATCTCAGATTTCCTACCATACCCGCAAATTAATGAAAACTCAGATGCCAAAATCTTGTAGAAAATTAAGATCTGAGAGGAGACACTGGAAGACTAAGAACAGAGGGAATGGTGGTCGATTTCGATTTGCATGGCGCTGACGATGATGGTGTTTGATAATCTCGAGGAGCTGATGATGGTGGTCTTCGTCCTCTTTGCTTGGGACTGTAGAGTTCGACAATCTCGATTTCAATTTGGAAGAAGATGAGATGGTGATGAATTTCGATTTTGATTCAAAAGTTTGAAGACGGAGAGAGGGAGATGAAGACGAAATCGAGTCGGTGAATTGTGATGGCTTTCATGAATGAACGGAAGACAAGAGAGAATAGTCTGACTCTGAGAAAAGATCTAATCAAACGGTAGGGTGGAGGTGTGATTAAATCCAATTCAATAATCCAACGGTAGAAACGGTTCGGGCCAAGCCCCCGTTTGTCCTTATCATTGGACCCGCCTTGCCCCGTTATTTCCTCCGCCCCGTCTCGTTTCCATTTCAAAATATTTCGACCTGCCCATTACCCCCCACCACCCCTCCCCCCCCGGGGCGATCCGCTTGGACCCGCCCCGACCCGTAGGTTCATGACTCGTTTGCCTACTCCTAGAGCCTGTTACTACAAAATCTGTAGCGGTTTTTTTTTTTAAAATGTTATTCGTACCACATATTTATATTATTTTTCTAATAAAGATATGACTCGTATATGTTTGTGGATGTTACTTTTATTAGAGAAATAGTACAAATGATGGTATAAATAGATGATAAATATAATATTTTAATTGCTTTCAGATTTAAGTGTATATACAGTTTTGTAGCAAGGTTAAATACATGGTCAAGGCCTGAATCATTGGCTTTGTGATATTTACATATATTTACAAGAAAATCAATTTGATCCTCTCCTAATTAGTGAGTTTAAATCTGAAAGGAAATCAATTTATAATTATTAAATGACCGTTTTTTATGAAGAAAAAGGGAAAACTCTACTTACAATATATGTTATGGCGATGCTCATAATATGTTGAATGGTGATGATCACCCATTATAGTTGGAGAATGTGGTGAGAAAATAAATTCCTAAATCAAAAGAGGATCAAATTATCGTGTAATTAAAAGGATTTTGGATTTGTCAAATTTTTTGTTAAAATGATTTATAAATGATGTATTAAAATATAGATGGTTTGGATCGTTGAAATCCATTACAAAGTACATAGGTCGTGACAAATGATGTCAAAATGTAATTATAACCCATCTATATATTGCAAATAAATAAATAGGAAAAAAAACACAGATTAATTAGGATTTACAGCTACCATACCATGACAGTGTTGTATGAAATTTTCAATATCTTTAAAAACTGAATTATAGACTAATTTTATTTTCATTTGATTCATTACTTTATAGCAGATTTAGCTAAACAAATCACGACTTTAGTTTAAGAAGACAAGAAAAGAAAATTTTAAATGATGAGGAAAGTAAACGTGGGCACAATCAAAGTTTAACACAAATAAACTGCAAGTACCGAGTACTCGATCACAATTGGTCACATTTCGTAGGAACAAACGAGAGTGTTTCCTCGGCAAGATCATGGTAAACCAACATATTCTGTTGCTGAAAATTTCCAAACACAGACATCGAGCTTGCAGACCCCATGGCCAAGCAAAGCACCCCAACATCCGTATCCACCAGAATATAGTTTTCACCTGGTAATTCCAAATCCGCACCCTTGAAATTAAACACCAACTTTGGCACCTCTACCTTTCCAGAGTTGTTAACGTCCTTCGGCAGCTTGTAGCACGCGTCAAGCCCCACCGTGTCTGTTGCATCCGCCTCCGGAAGTTTAATCTGGGAAGTGAACTCTTTCTTGAGTGCATCAAAAGCATCCTCTTCTATATACGTAAGAGTTGTCCCCGAGTCTATGATTAGGCCACCACTCCCATCATCTCCGAGCGTAAAAGTGTCTTTTTCAAGGGGCAATCGAGTTTCACCCACCGTGATGCCTTCTAGGGCAAGATAGTAGAAAGTTGATTGGTCATGATTTGGGTTTTTGATCAAAGGGGTAGTTATGATATTTGCAGGACCTGATTTAGTGTTGTTCAAGCTTGCTAAAGACCCCATCAAAAGTGTGCTACTACCGTCTGTGTCGTCAATGGAAGTCAAGCAATACGAGAATTTGGGCTCCTTGAGCTGCGAAACCAAGGACAACGGTCCACGGCCTAACCCCACAAGTCCGGAACCTTGATCAAAGCCCCCACCTTCATTGTCTTTGCCACATCCAAACCCTATTTTGGGAACTGAAACCTCTCCGAATGTGAACGTTTCGGTTGCTAGAATCCCATTCGTGGAGGAAGAATCCCCATAGGCGTAGTAGTACTCGCATGAACTGTTGGTGCATGTTTGGGATGGTAGTGCTTCACAAAGCTCGCTTTTGCATGATAGCTTTGAGAATGTTGAGGACTTTGTCGGGTCGAAGATTGGGGTTGGTTGATCATAACAGTCCTCACACGGCTTGCACTGAGTCCAAACGAGGTCGCTGCCGGTATCCATAATGGCGTTGAAGGTATCTGCCGGAGTACCCATCGACAACTTCATTAAAAACTCTCCTTGACCTGCGTGGACAGGAGACGTAACACGGGAATCCTGATCTGATGGTGACGCGGCTAGGACCATTGCGTTGAGCCTTTGCAACCTTTTTCGACCACGACTGATTCTGCGTTGGAAACGCTCGATTTTGGTCAAGTTTTTATCAGAATCAATGTGTTTGAGAGTCACCTTGAACCCGTTTTGCATGGCCTGGTGGTCGCGAAGACGGAGAGCTCTTCTTGAAGTGGAACATGCAGGGTTAACAAAGAAGGAAACTAGTAGCACTCCTAGGGTTAATAGTACAACACTTGAAAATGAACCAAGTGAACCCATTAGAGAAAGAATAAATGAGCGCTAGTTAGTGAGAATTGTTGGTCGATCGGGGATCGATATAAAAATGTTGTAACACTAAGTTTAAGGAAGGCCAACTAGAGTGGATAGCTAACTTCAAGAAATAATCTGAAAGACATACCAACTTGGTGAGCATGACATGGGGTTGAGATATCTCTATTGCGTCGCGGCTAATGCCTGTAGGTCTTACGTCCTTTTTAAGGAAATTGAAATTGATAGATAAATATATGCAAGGCAGCTCAATTTTATAAACCAAAGACAGGAATATATGGATGGAGAATTGATCTCTCACACGCTTTAATCCCTTTCGTCACAGTAAGGCTCTTTGGGGTTTGGAATATAATATAT